CCTTTCCTCAGTAGGTTTCCTACAAACTCCAGTCACCTAATGCTTCGATTTTCCTTCTCCAGCTCTGCACAGCACCTGTTTTCCTCTGGCTGCTCTCTTTCCAGTTAGGGCTGCACCATCCTGTCCTCATCAGCCATCTTGCTCCAGGAAAGTGATAGGTCTTAAGTGACTGTTAAGAAGTTAGGATTCGTTTTTTATTTCCAAGGATGTCTTCAATAAGATGACAAGAAATTCTGCAACTCACAATGTTAAATTTTTACTCTGAACATCGGGGATCTCTTATTGCCTTTGCTTGATATGAAACTAAGGATGAAAGGAAGAAGGTGATTTATTGCCAAGATTGCCGAAAATACTTGAGTTAAAACTATGGTGTGAGCCAGTTTCTCCTCATATCTAGTTTTTCCCTTCTCTGTGAGTGCTGGAAGTGTTATAGTATCGGGACTACTGATGGCTTTAACTTAGAAACCGAGGTAGGTTGTTCTGTTCCCCTTTGTTCAATGATTTGGCCATTTCTCAGGGTTTTTGAAGTTGATGCTGTTTTTGGCAGTACTGTGATGGTATTCACCTTTTTTGACTCTTTGTCTCTTGTTAAGGTACAGGGAGTTTTCCAGAGACTCTGAAATGGGTGACAGTGTCATTGCCGTGTGGCTTATGATAATGTAAAACATTGTGCTTTTCACTAAGTATTTTGGTTGGATAAGGCTTAATTTACTCACTGCTTTTCCCTAAAGATTTATTTATATATTTGGAGGGCAGAGTTAGAGAGGGGGAAGATACAGAGATAGGTCTTCATTCATTGGTTCATGCCCAGATGACTGCAGTGGCTTGAGCTTGGCACTTCTGAAGCTGGGAGCTTCATCTGGGCCTTCCAGGGAGTTGTAGAGGCTCACGGCTCACACCCTTGGGCCAGCTGCTGCTTTCTGAGGCTCATCAGCTGGGAGCTGGTGGGGAATTGGAGCAGCTGGGCCTTGAGCTCACAGGCAGCATCTCTACTGGCTATGCCCCAAGTTGTCCCCAGTTACTCGGTGTTGCTGTCCAAGACCAAGTGTAAATGATCATGTCATGGGGATTTTTGGGCTTGACCAAGGGAGCAAAGACGTCTTTTTCCCTTTCCTTTTTCCCTTAAGACCTGTCTTTTTCCCTTCCTTAACAAGAGAACTAATTACATTGATTTGCTTCTAGATCTGTGGAGTGTTTTTAAAGTTTGGTGAAGTTATTTGCTAACCAGATTTATTCAGAACATGTTAGAATATTACAGAAGTTCTTAAAACTTTTGGTCTCAGAACCTGTTATATTTGTGTGTATGTGTGTGTGTGTTACTGTTATATATGCTTGTATATGTTTATGTTTGCTGAAATTTAACACTGAAAAAGCCAACGCTTAATTTCAGTTAAAAACAATAATAAACCCATTGCATGGTAGCATAAATAACAGTTTTAAATAGAAAATTGTGTTTTTCAAAGCAAAAAGAAATTTAGAGGAGTGGAGTTGTTTTGAATTTTTGCAAGCTTTGTTAATTTTTGGCATAATAGAGCACAGTTGAATTGCCTGTTCTGCAGTCTGTTGCCACATGTTGTTTTGGTTGAAATATTGAAAGTAAATTTTGCATTAGCAAATAATTGTGGATATTCTTTAGTACTATACCAAAAACTTGACTGGTGGTAGTTTCTTGAAGGTTTTTGCAATGTGGAATCTAAAGTTTTATTGGTGGATTTTTCACGTTCTGTTGCATTGAAATCCATTGGTTGCACTTGACCTTCGAGTAAGTCTTAAGCTGTACCTGATTTTGTAATGTGCATTGCCATGTAAAAAATAATAGTTTGTTGAATTGTATGAATCTTTCAAATGTTAAGACATTTCACTATTTAGTATTGAAAAGCATATTTGTTTAAGTTAATGTCTGTTGTTCAGGTTAGAATGCCACTTGGGATGATAGCAAAGCATAGTGGACACCTGAATTCCAGTCTCAACTCTACTTCCACTTCCAGCGTCACGCTAGTGTTGCATGCTGGGAGGGAGCAGGTGACGGCTTATGTGCCTGGGTCCCTGTTGTCCATTTGAGAGACCCAGATGGAGGTCTGGGCTCCTAGTTTCAGCCTGGCCCACCTCTGGCTACTGTGGGCATATGGGTAGTGAACCAGTATATGCATGATCTCTTTATGGTTCTCTGCCTTTCAAATAAATGAAAATTTGAAAACCTACATGATACCACCACCCACAGTGAAAAGTCCTGTCAGACTCAGAATTTTGGTTTTGGTGTGAAAGCTCACATTTTAGCATTGGCAACAACTACCGTCACTTTCTTTTGAAGTTTATTTTAGATAAAATCTCAAGTTTGAGCAGTGATAGTTTTTTTTTCCAAGTGTGCTGCCTGATAATTGGTTCAGTGCTTTTGCCTGTGGCAGCTATCTGATTTATGCTTGATGTGTTTCCCATGTCTGTTTCCCATTTGGCAAATAGAATGTTTAAACAGATCGTCAGAGGTTGAAGTTTTAATAAGATTAATCAGGGCTGATCAGTGTTCTGTGTGAAGGGAGTAAGGCACCTGTGGTACAAAATGTAAGAGCCTGCCTTGCTCCACCCAGTTCCTGGCCATGAAGTTACATTTACAAGGATGTTTACGGATTCATTCATTCATTCATTCATTCGCTTATTTGAAAAAGAGCGAGAGGGAGAGAGAGATCTATCCACTCATTAGCTCCCAAGGAGGCCACAACCAGGCCCATACCAGGACCTTCGTGTGTGTCTCCCAAGTGGAGGAAGGGCCCAGGCACTTGGACTATCTGCCGCTGATTTTTCCCTGGCCAGCAGGGAACTGAATGGGAAGTAGAAACAGTGCCCATATAGGAGGCTGGCATCACAGGTTGTGACTTTACTTGTTATGTCACACTGCTGGTCCTGGGGACGTTCTTTTTATTTCTTCTCCAAAATTTTAATTGCACTAAAATAACATATAACAAAGTTTACTAACTTTTTTTTTTTTTTTAAAGATTTATTTTTATTATTTTTTATTGGAAAGGCGGATATACAGAGAGGAGAGACAGAGAGGAAGATCTTCCGTCCGATGATTCACTCCCCAAGTGAGCGCAACGGGCCGATACTATGCCGATCCGAAGCCAGGAGCCTCTTCCGGGTCTCCCACACGGGTGCAGGGTCCCAAAGCCTTGGGCCGTCCTCGACTGCTTTCCGGGGCCACAGGCAGGGAGCTGGAAGGGAAGCGGGGCCGCCGGGATTAGAACCGGCGCCCATATGGGATCCCGGGCGTGCAAGGCGAGGACTTAACCACTTGCGCCACCGCGCCGGGCCCCAAAGTTTACTAACTTTAAAAAGTATTTTTAGGGGTCAGCACCAGGGTATAGTAGGCAGTCTCTCTCAGTGCCAGTATCCCCATATGGGTCGAGTATCAGTTGCTCTACTTTTTTTTCCCCTTGGTATAATATATAGTGTTCTCCGGGTTCATTCTGTGATGTGTCAGGATGTTCATCCTTTTTGAAAAAGTCACACAGAGACTGATTAATGTGTATCATTTTGCTTATCAGTTCATCTTTTCATCATGTAGATTGCTTCTGTATTTTAAACATTTAAAATAATGTGCTGGGGCTATCATTGTACAGGTATCTCTTCAATACCTTGTTTTCATTTTTGCTGGTAAAATGTCAGTGGAATTGCTGGATCATATGGTAAATCTATGAATTTTTTTGTTGTTTGGGGATACAATTTTTCTGTGTCTGTGCCATTTGATAGTCCTCCCTGTGAGTGTGTAAGAACTCTGGTTTCTGGTTTTTTACACTAGCTTGTTTGTTTCCCTGTAGTAGCTGTCCTGTGTTTGGATATTGTAGTTTTGATATGAATTTTCCTAATGAACTGGGATTATCAAAACTGTTCGTAAGTGAGATTGGACAACATTTTGATTGCGGTTATATGTGAATGAAAAAATACACTACTAGCGTAGCTTGGGGTCACTTCATTAATGCTGAAATTACAGCAGTTTTGTCTGTCCTTTGCTGTTTTGCCCTCTTCCCAGCATCATTTTGGCATCATCATGGTAAATGTCAGTGCACTGAAGAAGACATTTCAGTTATTACAAAAGTAATTGTAGTGTCACACAGTACTGGGTCACTAAAGAGTGGTAAAAATTGTTGCGTTGTTAGTGTAATTTGTTTTGCTTCATTGTCATATTTTGATAGAAGTTTCTTATTTTGGTACTGGAAACTCAGTGTTGAAGATCAGCTAGAATGGGTAGATTAAATTCTGAAAACTGTTTCTTGACACACAGGATCAGACTATCAGTGTTAAGCTACTTAGCACGTTTCAGCAGAGGGGACTGCTTTCCTGTGTGTTGAGATCTCCTGGAGTGCTTTGGACACTGGTCAGGTCCCAGCCCTTGATTTTAGTTGGCTGGTGGTTTTCTTTGGACATTGGAATTTAGAGAGTTTTCTGCTTGATTTTACTTTGCAGCCAGGATTGAGGGTTGCTATTTTTGTAGGGAATGAACTTTGTTTTGATTAGCTGTATACTCAAGTGTTTCCTGCATTATTAAAATGAAATGAAATGAAATAATAAAATGGTTCTGATTCTGCTCCTGGAATAAAAAGAGATGAATTAGGATAAAGTGACTTTAAATAACCTGAGAAGTAGCGATCGATTCTTACAGAAGATTACATAGGAGAAATATGATGGTGATTTTAAAATATGGAGTTGGTAATTCTGAATAGACTGCTTGGCCCATGATATATCGATCAACCTATCAATTCGCCAGATTTTTTTTTTTTTGCTCCCCAAATTGTTACAATATTTAGATATGATTTTGCTTGCTTCGGCAGCACATATACAATATTTAGATATGATATGAAAGCATTGTATAAGTAGAAATAACCATTTATTAGTAAATGAATTTTAATTAATGGAAGCACATTTTGGGAGTTCTGATGTGTTTTTTTTCCATAGAATTAAAAGATCAATATAAGTATTCAAAGGATTTTTCTCTTTGTTTCTTTTAGAATTAAAGTTGGGAGAACTGCTTCATGATAAGCTGTAAGTATTTATGTATCCTTCAAAAAAGTGTAGTATAATGTTTCATTCTACTTTTTTCTTCTCTGAAGTAGTAATCTTTGAAGTCTGGGTAAATTTGTATTTCAAAGCTATACTAATGCTAGGTACATTTTTTTTTTCCCCCTTCAGTGAGCTCTTTTAGGTTAACTGACCTTTTTTGTGTCATTAAGTGAATACCTGTTCAAACTGTGACTTAGGCCTTTACTGGGTGGTAGATGTCCTTTTTTTGTTTTTGTTTTTAGATTTATTTTCATTACAAAGTCATATACAGAGAGGAAGAGAGACAGACAGGAAGAGCTTCTGTCCAATGATTCACTCCCCAAGTGACCGCAATGGCCGGTACTGTGCCGATCTGGAGCCAGGAGCCACGAGCCTCTTCCAGGTCTCCAATAAAGGTGCAGGGTCCCAAGGCTTTGGACCATCCTTGACTGCTTTCCCAGGCCACTTGCAGGGAGCTGGATGGGAAGTGGAGCTGCTGGGATTAGAACCGGCGCCCATATGGGATCCTGGTGCATTCAAGGCGAGGACTTTAGCCACTAGACCATGCTGCCAGGCCCAGATGTACTTTTTTGAAGAAAAATACCAGTTGTGTATATGCTGCCATATGAAACCTCAGTTACTATACTGTTTATGAACTGGATCAATTTCTTTCTCCATTCCCCCCTTAAGAATTAAAAAAAAAATATTTGAGTTAGTGACAGATATGATCAAATGGCTACAAGGGTGGGACTGGAGCAAGTTGAAGCTCAGAGCCAGGATTCCATCCAGGTCTCCCATGTGGGTGCATGGGCCCAAGCAGTGGGACATCTTTGTTGTTTTTCCAGATGTGTTAACAGAGACCTGGTTCGGAAGTGAAACAGCTTGGGCTCGAACTGGCGATCTGGTAGAAGGTGCTGGTTTCACAGGTGCCATGAAGCCAACTCCAAGACTGTTTTCGAAATTAAGAATTTGAAGTTGAGTGAGTTTATGAATAGACAAGATTCATCACTATTAAGGGTGGAGAGTTGAACCAGAAGTTCAGTTTTTCTCAAACTGGAGTGTGTGTCACAATCTGGCAGGTATTATAAAGTAGCTTGTTGGGCTTTACTAACAGCATTTCCTTTTGGACAAGTCTGGTGCAGGATCACAGAATTCCCTTTGCTAACAGGTTCTAAGATGGGATGAATGCTGCTGATTGACTTTAAGAAATGGAGTGTATAGTTATTTGTCCATATGGGAAGGAAATAATGAAACCAGGAAACAAGCTAATACGGGAAAAAAATGTCTGTGTGTGGAACTGGAGCTGAGAGTACAGCTGGAGGAGTGCAGCAGGAGGTGAGAGGACAGCTGGAGGAGTGCAGCAGGAGGTGAGGACAGCTGGAGGAGTGCAGCAGCAGGAGGTGAGGACAGCTGGAGGAGTGCAGCAGGAGGTGAGGATGGCTGGAGGAGTGCAGCAGGAGGTGAGAGGACAGCTGGAGGAGTGCAGGAGGAGGTGAGGACAGCTGGAGGGGTGCAGCAGGAGGTGAGGATAGCTGGAGGAGTGCAGCAGCAGGAGGTGAGGACAGCTGGAGGGGTGCAGCAGGAGGTGAGGACAGCTGGAGGAGTGCAGCAGGAGGTGAGGACAGCTGGAGGAGTGCAGCAGCAGGAGGTGAGGACAGCTGGAGGGGTGCAGCAGGAGGTGAGGACAGCTGGAGGAGTGCAGCAGCAGGAGGTGAGGACAGCTGGAGGGGTGCAGCAGGAGGTGAGGACAGCTGGAGGAGTGCAGCAGGAGGTGAGAGGACATCTGGAGGAGTGCAGCAGCAGGAGGTGAGGACAGCTGGAGGGGTGCAGCAGGAGGTGAGGACAGCTGGAGGGGTGCAGCAGGAGGTGAGGACAGCTGGAGGAGTGCAGCAGCAGGAGGTGAGGACAGCTGGAGGAGTGCAGCAGGAGGTGAGGACAGCTGGAGGAGTGCAGCAGGAGGTGAGGACAGCTGGAGGAGTGCAGCAGGAGGTGAGAGGACAGCTGGAGGAGTCCCAGAAGAGGCTCCTGAGTCTTAGTTTCAGATCAGCTCAGCTCTAGCAGTTGTGGCCACTTGGGGAATAAACCAGTGGATGATGGAAGATAGTTCTCTGTGTCCTTCTCTCTGTAAATCTCACTTTCCAAGAAAAATAAATCTCAGGTCACACTCAGGGAGCTGGATTGGAAGTGGACCCTCCAGGATATGAACCGGTACCATATGGGATCCTGGCACATGCAAAGCAAGGACTTTAGGCACTAGGCTACCGCTCCAGGCCCTGTCATGTATACTTGTAACAGTTATTGCATATGCTCTTAAAAAGTACATTATTAAAAATTGTCAGAAAATACAATATTACTCTGCTTATTTGTTTTCAATTTTCTATTTTATTTATTCAATTATTCATTTTGAGTTAAGGAAAGACAGATTTTTATTGGTAGTGGCCAACATGGGTCCAGGCCAGAGCTTGGAGCCGGGAGCTTCTTCTAGTTCTCCCATGTGGAAGCAGCAAGTTAAGCACTTGGGCCACTGTCTACTGCTTTTCCCACACTATAGCGGGAAGCTGAATTCAAAGTGGAGCAGCTAGGACACAGGCATGTAGGATGCTGGCATTCCCGGTGGCAGCTTTAATTACTCTGCCACAGTACCAGCCCATGTACTGTATCTTAAAGATCTTTCCATCTTAGTATGCAGCAATTCATTTCTTTATGTAAAATTAAAAAAAAATTTGCTTATATAGGAAGCAGTTACAGATGGCCACAGTAGCTGGAGATGAGGCTGACTTAGAGCCAGGAACTCAGGCCAAGTATGAAGAACCCAACTACTGGAGCCAGCACCACTGCCTGCCTGCCTTAGGATGAAGCTGGAGTCTGGAGCTTGAGCCAGTTGCACTGCAGATGTTACCTGCTGGACCCTTAGCACTTGTCCTGTCCTGTTAGCCAGCTCAGCCATTGTGCTGACCCCATTAGTGGTTCATCTTAACTGTTACATTTTATTGCTAGTATAGTTTATTCTGTGATATATCTATTAATGGACATTTAGATTATAGCATTTTTTTAATAACAAGGAAGTTGAAGATATTTATATATAAGTCTCTTACATTTTCGAATAGTTTTCTAGCATAGAAACCCAGAAATCAAATGACAGGTTTAGAATATGTTAATTGATTCAGCTGAAGTTCCTTGACAATAATTTGTATTAGTTTATATTTCTAGTGTGTGTGTGCATTTAAGAATTTTCCCCATCTCATTGGCATAAGAAGGCTTAATTATGTCTGAATTTGGAGCTTTTTACTTTTTAAAAAAATGTTTTCTGTGAATTGTGCAATTTTTTGGTCCATTTTTCTTTGAAGTTTTTTTCTTTTTCATTTGCATGAGTTGGTTATATATTCTGGATAGTAACTGTTTAAAGTATTTCCATAATTGTTGTTATTAACTGTCTCCATTATAGCTTTGTAAGTTACTGAAAAGTTTATTTTTACTTTCAGAATTTAAGTCTGGCTTGGATTTATTTTCCAAATATATGAATGAAAGATTTGATTTTTTCTTGATGATTAGCTGTTTGTCTCAATATGTTGATTAATTCACTCTCTTCTACTTACCTGGAATTCCACTTTTATCATACACAGTTCCATAACAACAAGTATACACTGTTCTGATTATTTGCTGTTGATCATATTGTGAGAGTATCTTCAGTTGAAGCATTAATAGATTGCAAGAAAAAGGAGTCTATCCTTTATAAACTTTTTGATGTCTTAACTGCTTTTTATCTGAGAGAAATGATATAGTTTTATAAGAGCTATCAGCTTTCTTGGTAGTTTGATATAAATTAAACAAAATATGAAGACAATAGCTTTATGGTTAGTCAAATCTTTTTACATGTTTTTATAGGTGTTTCTTTTGAGGTTTTATTTTGTTTTGTTAGTATTTAATGAGTTGAAAGGAGGACATAGTACAGTCAACAGTCTTCTGTTTGCTGGTTCACTACCCAAATATCTGCAACAGCCAGGGTTGGACCATAGCCAGGAGCTGGGGACTCAGCCTGCATCTCCCATGTGGGTGACAGGGACCAGCGTACTTGAGATATCGTTCCCTGCTCTAACACCTGACGGGAGCTGGGCGGAGCTGGGGCTCAAACCCAGACAGTCTGATCTGGGGTACTTGTCCCAACTGGTGTTCTGCCATTCCTGATTCTTGAAGTCTAATCAGTCCCCAGAGCATCACAGCTATCTTTTTTTATGGGGAATCAGCCATAAATAACAGAGGATGAAAACTGCTCTATTGATTTTCCATCATGTATTTGGCCAAACTTAAGTTCTGTGGACAGTGTTGAGTACTGCTATTTTGATGAACATGATGGGAAAGGAAAGGGCCAGTGTGGTATAGCAGGACAAGCCGCTGCCCACAAAGCAGGCATCTCGTGTGTACCGATTCATGTTCTGCCTGTTCTACTTCCCATCCAGCTCACTGCTGATGGCCTGGGAAAGCAGGCTAAGTGTTTGATTCCCTGCCTCCCAGGGAAGACCCTGACGAAGGGGAGGGTCTCCCAGGGGAGACCCAGACGAAGCTCTTGGCTTCTGGCTCCTTGCTTCAACTTGACCCGTTTCTGGCTGTTGGGGTCAATTGGAATGTCCGTCAGTGGGAGGAGATCTCTTTTTGGTCTTTGTCTTTCTCTGTCTCTTTGTAACTATGACTTTCAAATAAACGAACAAATGAAAGATTTGATATGATTACTCCAAATACAACTTTCTGGATTCTAAAGAAAAATGTTTAAGATGGGCGAAGTAAAATCAATTATAGATCTTTTGGTTTATATTTTGTCTAAAAGTTTGTATTGTACAGCATTTGTGGGATAAACATATAAAACATGTCTTAATTTTCTTCTACACAGTGCAAGTATGTGAGAATTTTAATGCTAAATGAAATTAAATAGAGCTGTTAAATTAGGGAGACTAAATACATAGAATTCTGTAGTTAAAAGTGCTTAATAACTTACGTTGTAGGGTTCTGGGAACGTTTACTGGTTCATAACTAGTTTGTGAGGAGCAGTAGGGAGAGGTTGATAATGGGTACTATGTTATAGTTACATGGGATTAAGAAGTTCCTGTGTTCTATTTTAGGTAATGACAGTATACTGTGCGTTTTTCTCAAAAAAAACAAAAGGCTTTTGAATTTTTTTATCCTGAACAAATGTTTGAGAAGATAGATAAATTCACCCTGTACATGTGATAGCTTAAAAAAATTTTTGAAAATTTAATTTTCATTTACAGATTTGGTCTTTTTGAAGCTATGTCTGCTATTGAAATGATGGATCCCAAGATGGATGCTGGCATGATTGGAAACCAAGTTAATCGAAAGGTTCTCAATTTTGAACAAGCTATCAAGGTAATCATCATTGTACTTTTTGAGTTTTATTTTTTATTTCTTCTGTTAATATATGCTTAATGAACAGCATATTAACTTGAATTGTTATTAAAAGCTTCTGAAATATACAGTAAGTAGCTAAAAGCTTTCTCTAGCAAAATCTGGAAGTTAGATGTTTGAGATTTTCATTAAAACCTTGCTTAAAGCTTGTATATATATATATATTTATTTTTTGAAGATTTATTTATCTATTGGAAAGTCAGATATGCAGAGAGGAGGAGAGACAGAGAGGAAGATCTGCTGTCCGATGATTCACTCCCCAAGTAAGCGCAACGGCCGATGCTATGCCGATCTGAAGCCAGGAGCCAGGAACTTCTTCCAGGTCTCCCACACGGGTGTAGAGTCCCAAAGCTTTGGTCTGTCCCCGACTGCTTTCCCAGGCCACAAGCAGGGAGCTGGATGGGAAGTGGAGCTGCCGAGGTTAGAACTGGTGCCCATATGGGATCCCGGCACGTTCAAGGTGAGGACTTTAGCCACTAGGCCACGCTGCTGGGCCCATAGCTTGTATATTTTTAAAATTAATGTTTGAAAGCATTTGAGGGATGAGTGTTGTGGCCTGGCGAGTGAAGCTGCCTGCAAGGCTTGGCATCCCATATTGGTGCCAGTTTCTGTCTTAGCTCCTCCATTTTTGATCTGGCTTCCTAAGGAAGAGCTGGGAAAAGCAGTAGATGGATTAAGTGCTTGGATCCCTGCTAACCACAAGGGTGACTTAGAATGAGCTACTGGCTCTTGGCTTCTGCCTGGCCCAGCTCTGGCCGTTGCAGCCATCTGAGGAGTGAACCAGTGGATAGAAGATCTGTCGCTCGCTCTCTTTCAAAGAAGTAAATCTTTTTTTTTTTTTAAGTATTTGAATATGTAATTGGATATAAGAATAATTGGTTTATCAGTTACATTTTAAGTGTTTATAATTTCTTTAAAGATTTATTTGAAAGACAGTGCGATGGAATATTCAGAGAGTAGAGACGAAAGAAAGATCTATTCGCTGGTTCACTTCACAGATGGCCACAGTGGCTGGAGCTGAGCCAATCTGAAGCCAGGAGCTTCTTCTGGGTCTCCCACTCGGGTGCAGGGTCCCAAGGCTCTGGGCCATCCTCTGCTGCTTTCCCAGGCCACAAGCAGGGAGCTAGATGGGAAGTGGGACAGCTAGGATGTGAACTGGTATCCGTATGGTTTCCCAGCCCACGCAGTGTGAGGATTTTGGCCCTGAGCCATCATGTGGGGCCCTTGTAGTTTTTTCTTTAGAAAGTTATTTTGATATCTTAGTTTTGTTAGTTGATCACATAATGTTTTGTTAGGATTGCTATTTTTAAATATCTGACTTTGCCAATATTATATACCTGCTAATCACAAGTAAGTGTCTGCTTACATGTGCTGTTTCCTCTCTTTCTTAGGATGGCACCATTAAAATTAAAGACCTTACTTTGCCTGAATTGATAGGGATCATGGATACCTGTTTTTGCTGCTTGGTAAGAATTAACATTATTAATTTAAAAATCTAGCTGAATCTGTTAATTTAGAAGTGTATACACCAGTGTTGACCATGAAATACTTGCAATGCAAGGCCTTGTAAGAATGTCCTTAATTTTAGCAGACCAAATATGCTTAGTACAGAAATTTCATCTTCTCATCTGATATTATATTCTTAACTTCTGGGTAAAAGAATATTTCATTTCAACGCAAGTAGTGTTAATAGCTGTTACGGTGAAGATCCCTTTTTTGAAAATACCCAGGAAAATGAAGCTATAGTTAGAAGACTTGATAAATTAGCATGGAATTGAAACAAAAGGAATTTTGCATTGGTTTTGGGGAGATTTTTTTTTTTCCTAACTTAGGATAAATTGTAGATAAGTGACCATCTTTAAGGAAGAGAATTTTATGGTGATGGGTGCATGCTGGATATGTGGTCTCCCTGCACAGTGGAAACCTCCTCCTTGGGACTGCTTTGAGTGCTCCTTCTTTTCTGCCCTCTCTACTTCTTAAAAAAAATTATTTGAAAGGCAGAGTGATAAGTGAGCTGGTGGAAGATAGCTGGACATTAAGATCATCCATCTTCTAGTTCACTTCTCAGATGGCTCCCAACAGTCGTGGGCAAGACGAGGCTGAAGACAGGAGCTCTGTCGTGGTGTCCCTCGTGAATGGGAGGACCCGAGTACCTGGGCTGTCTTCTTCTGCTGTCTCAGGCACATTAGCGCTTAGTTGGATTGGGAGCAAGGTGACTGCTGATATTAGAACCAGCACTCTGATTTGCCATGCCTATGTTATAAGTTGTGGGTTAACTTGTATACTGCAATCCCCACTCTAACCTTTTTATTTTTGGTAAGACATATTTTTAGAATGAATAGTACTTATTCATATGTTCATTCAGAAAATATTGATTGCCAGTGTTTGTGAAATGTTTTTAGGAACTGTTTCATGTATGTAATTTTTTATTAGGCAGGTACTGTGGCCTGTCCCAGCCAGGTGTGCTTTCCTGAACCAGCTTTTGCGAGTTGACTGTAGGTGGCAGGTGATGCCATTTAGCACAGTCCAGGTGGCCCTCATGGGGACAGGCCTTGTCCTGACCCAGACGTGCCCTCCAGTTTCTTCCATCTAAACCATTCCATCTCAGTTCACTTGCCTACCTATGAGAGTGTAATAGCCTGGTCCGTGAAAGACCCCAGAAATCATTCCTTCCCTGTCAAACGTGCCCTCGGCCACTCAACTCCAGTATGTCTCCAGACTCCCTTCCCTGGGCAGCCTCTAGCCCCCCAACATGGGGGCTGGTGTGGTGTGTTCTGGTGGAGAGTTCCCCACCTCACCCACTTAACTTAAAAAAAAAAAAAAGCAACTCTGCTGGTGTACATGTATAGTTAACACTAGTTTGGTAATACTTGGCCCAGAATGTTTGCCAACCGTTGGCTGCATTTCTCCCACTTGTGTGACACATGCCTAGGAGCAGGCAAACCTACTCAGGTGTTCCCAGCCGGGGCTTTATTACAGCTTGTGTTAACCATATTTGGTGTATGTATTACAGTATTGCCCATGATCGCATTGCTAGGAAGAGGCAGTGGTGGATTTCTGATCCTGTCTGTCCTGTAAAAGCTCTTTCCTTCAGATACATCTGTATTATCAGAGGCTTACATTTCTTTCTGAGATGGGCAAGGGAAATGGAGTGTTTCTGGGAACAAACATGTAAAGAAAGGATTGTGACTGCAGGTAAATAAGTGTGTTCTAGTGCTGTAGGGACATGGGGATTATTTCTGGGAAGGTAGGAAAGGCTGTTGAAAGGAAGTGATATTAGTATGAAATATTGAAGATCAGTAGGCATGTGGCAGGAGAAGGGGTGATTTTGTGGGCTTTCAAAAGGGTATGTGTTATGACAGGGAGAGGAGGTACAGCTGCTTCTAGTCAAGGCTGAGGAACTAGACAAGGAGGGAGGGGACAGAAGGAATTTTTTAAAAAATTTGTTTTTATTAGGAAGTCAGATTTATTTATTTTTTTAAAAAAGATTTCTTTATTTTCATTGCAAAGTCAGACATACAGAGAGGTGGAGAGACAAAGGGGAAAATCCTCCGTCCAATGATTCACTCCCCAAGTGACTGCAGTGTCTGGCACTGAGCTGATCCAAAGCCAGGAGCCAGGAACTTCTTTCTGGGTCTCCATGCGGGTGCAGGGTTCCAAGGCTTTGGGCCGTCCTCGACTGCTTTCCCAAGCCACAAGCAGGGAGCTGGATGGGAAGTGGAGCTACCGGGATTAGAACCAGTGCCCATATAGCATCTTGGTGTGTTCAAGGTGAGGACTTTAGCCACTAGGCCACAGCACCGGGCCCAGTAAGAAGGATCATGGCCAAAACTAAGAAGCTCTCCGGAGACACTTGGGACTGCATCTCAGAGTTCAGGCATAGGAAGACAACAGGTTTGAGAATGCGTCTTTACACTAGTGTATTCCATGTACACCTTACATGAAATCCTTAATGCATAACTAATATAGCGACATGTGTCTTGCTGTGCTACAGAATTCCTGGACTCTAAACCATGTAAATTTGGGCAAATTGTTTTGCAAACTGTTCTACATGTAAAAGAATGAATGCTGTCTTTTTCATCATGTGAGGGGAAAAATGAAATATATGAAAATATGTAGGTAATACTTGGGACAAAATAGTTACTCAGTTATGGCTGCTCTTGCTATTCCCAGACTTTACCACAATGACGCCAAGCCTGTGGTAGACACTTGGGAAAAGTGCTGATGATGCTTGTGTTTTAGAAAAAGCTCTCTGCTGGCGCATGTAAGGGTCAGATCTGGTGTCACCTCAGGTGAAGGTTCTTGGGGAACTCCCCAACTGGACCACTGGACTCAAACTCTACCCACAGAGAGAATTGTAGGATTTGTGGTCTGACCTTGGAATGCATGGAATGATTGGGATTGTGCCTCCTTGATTGCTGATGCTTATGCTGTGGACGGTGTGCCATGGTGCATAAGGGGGACGTGATGGACAGCTCATTTGGCCATGCAGAGGACATCGAATGCCATGTCAGAAGAGCAGGAGAGCAGAACAGAGTGGGCAACTCTCTTGGTTGAGCTTTGGCAGCAAGTTTCTGGGTGAGTGGGTGCACTGAGGTAGACTGTCAGTCAGTGGACCTTGGAAGGAGGATTTTCTCAACCTTGGAGCAACAAAACCAACAGCGTCTTGAACTATGCAAAACACTCAGGCAGCACCCTCAGAACGTTCTCTGCATCAGGGTTTCTAAGATGACATCAAGTGGACATCTCAGCCCGGGGCGGCTGGGAGCAGTTCCCTCATCCTTGCTGTCTTCTTCACACCTAGGTACAGAAAAAAAAGGAAGAAAAGGAAAATTGGAAACATTTGTCCTACCCACCTTCCCCTGTTCCTCAACCTTTCCCACCTTATTCAGTGGTCCTCATGGGCCTGCATTCTTGTTAACTATGTAAAGAATATCAAAAGTAAAATAAAATAAAAAAGAAAAAGCCCTCTGGCTGCGAGTATTGAATTAGAGATCAGAAAAAAGAAAAGCATCTTTAATTTCTTGCAGACATCTAAGTGCTACAGCTGCTGCTGGCTGGGTTAGTGGTGGTAAAGATAAAATGAAAAAATAGAGTGATTAACAACTTGTGTTCAGTTTTACAATTGGGAATTTCTGGTCTATGGATTTTTATTGACTGCATTGTGGAATAGATTGGTTTGGATGCTATTTAAAGGGTTAACTCTATCTTACAGTTATATAAAAATACCTTTTACAGTTAATCATTTGTTGTACGTAGAGTCAATGAATGTGAATTTTAATTCTTTGTTTTTCTTGCTTTCCTTTTAATCATGTTTTAAGTCTTGTATGTAATCTTGCATCTTACTGGGTCTGCAGCACTTGAACCTTTGGCTTTTGGATTAGTTGAGACTTTTCAGACTTTGCGTGTCACCTTCAGTGTATGTCCTGTTTTGTGTTTTCATAGATAACCTGGTTAGAAGGCCATTCCTTGGCACAGACAGTATTCACGTGCCTTTATATTCATAATCCAGACTTTATAGAAGATCCTGCCATGAAAGCTTTTGCTTTGGGAATCTTGAAAATCTGTGATATCGCAAGGGAAAAAGTAAATAAAGCTGCTGTTTTTGAAGAGGTAAGATTTTATAAGATAACAATTCTTGAAGCTCATTGACCACCTTATTCACTGGGTGTTTACGTGATTTTGTGATTCACATCTTTGTCCACATGAATTGTTAAAAGTTGTCCTACAAATTGTTTGCTTTTATACAAAGATTGATTTGTAAGGCCCTCACTTATAGTACTGTTTATAGTATTTAAGATTTGGCATTGTAGTCAGGAAAATATTCCTCAGTATCCATCACCAGGAAACTCCATAAAAGGTGCTACATGATCAAGGATTAAGGATTGTGCCTTTGGGACACCTGTGTCCCATGCTGGAGGGCCTGAGTTCAAGTCTCATTTCTACTCGGAGTTTCAGCTTCTGCTAATGAGCACCTTGGAGGCAGTGGCAGTGGCTCATGTAGCTGTGGGTCTCTTACCCTTGTGGGAAACCTAGATTGTCTGGCTCTCAGTTTAGCCGGCTCAGTCCTGACTATTGTGGGTGTTTAGGGAGTGAAACAGTGGGTGAGATTTCTATCTGTCTCTGTGTCTCTCCTATCCATTTCTCTCTTTCTCTGCCTTTCAAATGAATAAACATTTATTTTAAAAGGCTGTAGATTTATATCTACAATGTAAGATTAGAACCCTCAAATGAGAAAGTCAGATGTGTGAAAGCATGTGTATCTTGATACCATTTTATTTTTATTATCTTAAAAGGATAGTAATTAGTTGAATGTTCCTACACAAGAAGATAATGGGGGTACTCAGGATTGGAACATAAACCTATTTCCTTTTTAAAATGAACTAGAAAATTTAGTAATGAAAATTATAATTGAATTTCTGTAAATTTTCTCTACATGCTTATAGGCAAATGGAAGGAGGTAGAGAAAAGTAATAGAAATATTTTAGGAATAATAAAGACAATTTTTTTATCCCATTGAAATAAAACATAATGTTAGGCCCAAATGAATAAATGAATAGTGAAATAACGAGCTTATTCTTGAAAGTTATCAAAAGATTGCAATATAAAAAGTTAGCATCAGTATAATCTAGAAAGTACAAATTAAAATAGTAGCTACTTTTTATTTATAGAACATTTGGTTTTGGCAAGGATGCAGTTAATTGCCATTTTAGTTTTTACTAGTGGAAATTGCATGAACAGTTTAGCAATATAGATCAAAGTCTTAAACATGCTGATACCATTTATTCTAATAATTTCACCTGTATAACTCCACCTTGAAGAATGAGGAATGTGGACACTGTGCTGAAGTATGTTAATCAGTTTTCGGAAATTATCAGTTAACACCAAAATGTAACCATTATCGTTGTGGTCAAAATAAAATATAGACAGTTTAGTGTACTTGTTGAATATGTAGCCATTAATGTGATGACAGTGTGTTTAATAATACGTACTTTCAGTTTCCTACTGAAAGGCCCATTTGGTCTGTCAGGAATATTCTCCATTATTTTTATTCATTAAACTTCGCTAGCATACTTATTACTGCTAATAAAGGAAGAAAATGTATACTTAAGCAGCTTAAATTGAGAAGGATACGTGCCCTCACCAACCAGGCAGCAACTGATGGCCCAGCTGCCTGGACCCTTTTCACCACGTGGGAGGCCAAGATGGAAAGTCTGGCTTCGGCCTGACTTACCTCTAACTGCTGCAGCCATTTTTTTTTTTTTTTTATTGTTGCTTACATTGTATTATGTAGTACAGTTTTATAGGCGCTGGGGATTCCCCCCACCCCTCCCATACCCCTCCCCCCATGGTGGATTCCTCCACCTTGTTGCATACTACCACAAGCAATATACATTTTCAACGCAATTCCAATCAAATTGCCCAAAACATTCTTCACGGAACTGGATACAATGATTCAAAAGTTCATCTGGAAACACAAAAAACCACGAATAGCTAGAACCATCCTGAAAAATAAGAAGTTAGCAGGGGGAATCACAATCCCGGACCTCTGGACATACTATAGAGCAGTGGTTATCAAAACAGCCTGGTACTGGCACAAAGACAGAAAGGAAGATCAATGGAATAGAATAGAAGCACCAAAAGGGAACCCACACAAATACAGCCAATTAATCTTTGACAAAAAGACCAATGACAGCTCAAGCAAGTGGGAAGGCCTCTTTAGTAAATGTTGTTGGGACAACTGGCTGATAGCCTGTAGAAACAAAAAAATAGACCCACATCTATCACCATACACTAAGATCCAATCTACATGGATAAAAGACCTAAACCTACATCCAGAAACCTTCAAACTCTTGCAAGAAAATGTAGGAAATACCCTGCAAGACCTAGGAGTAGGTACCGACTTTCTAAGAAGGACACCAAAAGCAATAGCAGTTGAGAACAGAATAAACAAATGGGACCTCATCAAACTAAGAAGCTTCTGTACAGCAAGGGAAACAATCAACAAAGTAAAAAAGCAACCCACAGAGTGGGAGAAGATCTTTGCACACGATATAGGCGATAGGGGGCTAATTTCCAGGATATACAAAGAACTTCAAAACAACCAAAAAACCAAAACAAACAAACCACTCAAGAAATGGGCACGGGAAATGGGCAAACATTTCACAAAGGAACAAGTCCAAATGGCAAACAAACATATGAAAAAATGTTCCAGCTCCCTAGCAATAAGGGAAATCCAAATTAAAACATCGATGAGGTACCACCTAACACCAGTAAGATTGGCCCACATAAACAAGAACACCAACGACGCTTGCTGGCGAGGATGCGGGGAAAAGGGAACCATACTCCACTGCTGGTGGAGCTGCAAATTGGTACAGCCTTTATGCTGCAGCCATTTTGAGGAGGGAGCTAGCAGATGTAATCTCCCTCTCTCAGTGACGCTGATTTTCAAAAAAATTTTTTTTGACTAGGCAAATAAGCTTTATAGTAAAATACTTCCATATTAGCATTTTACCCCTGATATCTAGCCAAAATCAGCTTCTATAGTTTGCTCAGGAAATGGATTAAGAATAAGAGAATAAAACCATAAAAAAAGTTCTGTGCTGCTTTATTCATCTTAAAATTTTCATTTCAACCTTACTATTTGATTCCCATCACTTTTTTCCCCCTTATTTACTCTGATTCCTCTACTCTGACTGTCCTTCAGTTAGAGATGCGTAGTTGACAAACGTTGACACTTCATGTCTCTGTTCGCGTCATTTCCGCTGGTCAGTGCTGCAGCCAGTGAAACCCTTCACTCAGCATTAGCTACACTCTGCATGTACCCAGGCAGCAGAAGCTGCTAGGGAAAACCCACATCTGTGTGTCTACTCTCACTTTTGTTTTAAAGCTAAAGCTCAGATGTGCATTCAACATTGGAGACAGTCTTGTCCTATGCTTTGTACTGACTTTGTTTCTTAGTTTTTTAAAATGATTTTCCCGGGCCCAGCGCGGTGGCTCAGTGGTTAAGGTCCTCGCCTTGCACGCCCGGGATCCCATATGGGCGCTGGTTCTATTCCCGGCAGCCCCGCTTCCCTTCCAGCTCCCTGCCTGTGGCCCGGGAAAGCAGTCGAGGACGACCCAAAGCTTTGGGACCCTGCACCCGCGTGGGAGACCCGGAAGAGGCTCCTGGCTTCGGACCGGCATAGCATCGACCGTTGCGCTCACTTGGGGAGTGAATCATCGGAAGGAAGATCTTCCTCTCTGTCTCTCCTCTCTGTATATCCGCCTTTCCAGTAAAAAATAATAAAATAAATTTTTAAAATGATTTTCCCACATCTTTTTAAATTTTAGACATCCTTTACCAATTTTACTTTCCTTCTATTTGCTTTATATCTTACTGAAAGATTAGCTGCAGATGTTATTACAAGCACCAGTCACAGTCATGACTGCTGACTTGTTTTGATAGCTACGTGCTTCTAATACAATGAATGTCTCCCAGTAACAATAGGTTTAGACTGTCACTGTGTTCTGCTTTCCATTTCTTTTTTGCTTGTTGTAGATATTAAACCTGTTTTGTGTGTGTTGCATTACTAATCTGTTTTTCCCTACTAGATTATTATTGGCATTTAAGCATGCTTTAACATTTGTTTAAAAAGAGAATATAGCAAGGCCCAGAGCGGTAGCCAAGTGGCTAAAGTTCCTGCCTTGTATTCACCGGAATCCCATTTGCGCACCAATTCATGTTGTACAACTCTGCTTCCCATCCAGCTCCCTGACTCTGGTCTGGGAAAGCACTCGAGAACGGCAGAAAGCCTCAGGACCATGCACACACACGGGAAACCCAGAAGAGGCTCCTGGCTCTTGGCTTCAGATTGGCTCAACTCTGGCCATTGTGGCTGCTTGGGGAGTGAACCAGCAGATGGAAGATCTCTCTGTTTCTCCTTCTCTGTAAATCTGACTTTCCAATAAAAATAAATAAATCCTTAAAAAAGAGAGAGAATACAACAGTTCCTTATATCTGTAATGCCATTTTTCTACTGCTCTCACACAGAACTCTTTGAATGAATTAATATTTGTGTGTTTTACGTTGTGTCTTCCTGGTCTCGCTGGTCATTTCTTCACTGCCACTCGGGGAACTGGTGTCTGTCTCACTGAGTTCTGCACTCTCCTCCATCCTTCTCGGGGAGTCATTACCCACTTGACCCATTTTCAGCTTGTTCTTGTATTCCTTTCCCCATTGCTGATGAGGGTTTCCTGTGTGTGCCTTTCTAGATGCAAGGGTGTTTACCCCTGGACTCACTTTGTTCTCCATACTTTTTTCCTAGGTTGATTTCTTGTAGTTCTGTAGCTTTATAATACCATCTGTGTGCTGATGACATCCATTTCTTAAAGACGTATTTTATTTGAATGTCAGATATACAGAGAGGAGAGACAGAGAGGAAGAACTTACATCCATAGATTCATTCCCCAGGCAGCCCCAGTAGCCGGAGCTGTGCCAATCCGAAGCCAGGAACTTTTTCCAAGTCTCTCATGTTGGTGCAGGGTCCCAAAGCTTTGGGCCATCTTGGACTGCTTCCCCAGGCCACAAGCAGGGAGCTGGATGAGAAGTGGGGCACTCATATGGCAATCTGGTGCATGCGAGGTGAGGACTTTAGTCTCTAGGCTACCGCACTGGACCCAATGACGTCCATTTTTATGTCTCTAGTCCTGATCCCACCCTTGATTTCCAGACTCAAGTGAATGCCTTCCAGAAATTTTCACTTGGATGATGGAAGAAGTTGTAAACTTGATGTAAATGGCAGTACTCCGTTTTTACCGTTAGACAAATGTACTTCTCTAGAAGTCTACCCCTTTGCAGGATCATCAGTTGTTCAGACCAAAAACCTAAAAGAGGTGCTTCAACATATAGTTTATCTCATACGTTTTCAGCTTTACCTTTTATATATCTTAATTTCAGTAACTTTTTCTTTTTCCACTGTTACAGTCCCAATCCAAATCACCAGCAACTCTGGCCCTGTAGAGGTGTATGTCTGATCTCCCCTGCTTCACTGGTTTTTGTTCTAAAGTCTAGTGTTTCAGGAGTGAGCTGGCAGTGACAGTGATCTGTTTATGTGACTCCTCTTGCTGTCAGTTCTCTGGGGTATTCTCGTTACTGAGGCTTCTATCCGTTACACAGAACCTGGGATATTCTTTCAGAAACAATGGTTTTTTTTTGCCTAGACTGTTGCAAAACAGTTCACAGCTAGAGGTTTCAGGTACTTATTTTGTCTACACAATGTTGGGCTATGAATTTTGTTTTTCCAAGGTACATTCTTTTCCATTTTTAATTTTTTAAAATTTTTATTTGTAAGGTCAGTTTATAGAGCGTGTGAGGGACACACTGTTCAACTTCTGGCTCACTATCCAAATGGCCACAGCAGCCAAAGGTGGGCCACTTCAAAACCTGGAGCCTGGACCTTCTTCCAGGTGTCCCACATGGGTACAGAGGCCCAAGAACTTGGGTCATCTGCTGCTGCTTTCCCAGGCACATTAGCAGGGAGCTGGGTTGGAAGTGGAGCAGCCCAGACTCAAAGTGGCACCTGTATGGGATGCTCACCCCACAGGCGGAGGCTTAGCCTACTGTGTCATAGTTGAGATTAGGAAATCGTTGAAGGGTTTTCAGTAGAGAAGTGGCATATTTGACTTACTGTAAAACAATACGTCTTCCTCCTGCTGTTGAATAAATTCTGCCAGGAACACTTGTGCGACCTGTTTGGAATTACAGGCAGAAGTGTGCTTAGTAACTTAGAGGTAGCTATGAAGGATGAGAGATTGATAGATTAAACATTTTTAAAGTTTTTTTATTTTGAAAGGTAGAGCAACAGAAACATGCCTACTCACCCACACAGCTCTTCCAGCTGTTGTTTCATTCTCCATATGGCCACAGCAGCTGGCTCTGGTCAGACCCAAATCAGGAGCCAGAGAATTCAGTCTTTATCTCCCAAGTACTTGGGCCGTAAGTGATGCTTTGACTGGTGTTGGCCAGCTTGTCTACTGACACTGCCGTTGGTGAGATTCCCTGCTTCTGTTTTCACTGTCTTCGCTTGTGTACCACACTCCTTTAGCTGTATCGCTTGCTGACATATCTCAGTCTGTATAGCAGTCAAACTCATGGCTGTATTTACTGTTGACCTGAGAATTGTTTGATAAATATTAGTCTGTCTTTGCACATATCTTAAATATCAGTATATTTAAATTGCTTAAGAACAAGAAGCTAGTTAAGGACAGAGATTGCATTAGAATGTGGTATTTGAGAGTGTGCCTTTAAGGAAAGCCTGGCTGTTTGATGGCAATATTTAGACAAGCAGGATGACATATCCTTCCAGTTTTACTAGTAAATAGTGATTTTATGAAAGAGATGAGATGGTTTTACTGCTGTGTAAGGGCCTAATTATCTTTTTTTTTTTTTTTTTTTTTTTGGTTTAGGAAGATTTTCAGTCAATGACTTACGGATTTAAAATGGCTAACAGTGTAACAGATCTTCGAGTTACAGGTAAGCCCATTTTAAAAGATAATTCTATGATTTACTTTTTGAGTTTTTTCCTTTTAAAACTTGCTGTTTGTTTTTCTAGGCATGCTAAAAGATGTGGAAGATGACATGCAAAGAAGAGTAAAGGTATATATATGTTATGTCTTTTCTGCAGTGTAAAGTTTTTGTATGATCAAGATCAGGTTAATATTAGACAGTTGCAAATAGCTGGCGTAGGTAGACCCTCCTACTTCTTAATAAACTGTACTGCGTTTGTAATGAATTTGAAGCTGCTAGAAGAGTTTGTGAGATTTCAAGCATTGAAAATTTACCCTTCTCAATTCATTGGACTTTATGGCGTCTTGAGTGTTAGCTAAGGTGCTGCACGGGTGGTGTTTTTCCCGCATAGGTTTTGGCTCCTTGGGTGTTTCTTGTATCTTCAGTGCTCAGTAGAGTGTCTAGAGTGTTAGCCTGGCAAGTAGTGGCGACCAGAGTGTGGGAGCTCCTAGTTGGTAATTCACTTCTCATAGACATTTGATAGAACAAGTGGTGTTTTGTCTATTTTTGTCTTTGTAAGGAATTTTACATTCTTCAAAAAATTTGTGATTATTCAGTGAGTTAGGTGATTAAAGGTACACCATGCCACTTGCATTCAGGAGAATGCAGTTTGCAGAGGTTGAGTCACCTTTCTTGAGCCATGCTTGTGAGTGTGTCCTTTGTAAGCGACAGCTCCAGGACTGGAGTGCACAGTTTCTGCCACAGCTTCCTATCCTGCTGCTCTGAGCTTCTGTGAAAGTAAATAATCCACTGCAACTCTTGCAGTAACAAGAACAGGTCAGGATTGACCAGTGTTTTTATGGTGTGATATTGTAAATATTACTGTTTTTTCCTAACAATTAATTTTGAGAGCATCAGGGAATTCATTGAATAGATGCTTTTAAAGGAAGATAGTACTGACTGTATGCCATAGGCTTTTGCTTATGTTTTCTTTTTTCAATAATGTTTTACAAATTATCTTATAATTTGTATCAAAATGAAATTTCTGTATGTAGGTTAATGGAAGTAAAATGAATACTGGATGCAATCTCCCCCCCTTTATTTATTTATTTAATTTATATAAAAACAGATTTTTTTTCCTGAGTATAACTCAGGAAATTTTTACTTCACCTTGTATGTTTGTAATCTAATATTTCTCCAAGTTTGAGTTTGTTTTAATTTACCTTTTTTAAAATTTTAGAGTACTCGAAGTCGGCAAGGAGAAGAAAGAGATCCAGAAGTTGAACTAGAAGTAATTGAACTTATTTTCTGGTAGATAATATCAGAGAAGTCTACCTGTTAATGTTGTAGTTTTATGAACTGCGTTATAATTTATGGAAGCCCTTTTTAAGGTATTTCTTTAAAAATTGGACATTGCAAGGGATTTTATTTCCCTTGTGCTTGTTTTGATAGACTGATAATGCAGCTCTTTGAAATACATTTCAGAATCTTCAGTATTCCTGTGAGGTAGGAAGAAAATATCTTTTACAGGTGATGACAAACAGAAGTTTGCAGTGTCAAAAGATGCTGAGTTTTGTCAAAATTCTAAGTTTTCTGACTCTGCATAAATTATTTCTTAAAATGCTACTTGACAATTTTGTAAGATAGTGTAGCTTTTGATCTAAAAGAAAATCCTTTGAGTATACTTTTTTTAATATTCCAAAAGAATAAGCTTTTTAAAATTTATTATGATGCTTTCCACAGTATATTTTCCAGGCATTTGTAAAACCTGTGAAGAGATGTGTGTTAATATAGTATGTTATTAATGAAGTTTAGGAGTTAAATCTATTTAAGTTGAAATTTATATTATGGGCTTTGCATGCTTTTGACTTCAGCTCTTGTCTCTTTGCAGCACCAGCAGTGTTTAGCAGTGTTTAGCAGAGTGAAATTTACTCGTGTGTTGCTGACAGTGCTTATAGCCTTCACTAAGAAAGAGGTAAGGCTGTTGGCCTTAACTTATCTTTGTGTTTTAGTGTTGGTTAGATGGTACGCCTTATCAAGGCAGTTCTGAGACTTCTTTGCTGTCCACTTGTTCTAAATGCTAGTATGAGATATTTGCACTTAGTGTATTTATACCAGAGTAACCCTGATGATTTTCTCAACAGGTTGCATGAAGTGTCTCCTCCCTAATACATGCCCGTGGCTGTTATTTAAATAAGAATAGTGTCTTATGTTGTTATTAAACACAACATTAAAAGTTGAAATCGCTTGTGGGTTGTTAGTTTGTGAATGAAAGGAGAAAGTGGAAATGAGAAATGTAGGTAGACCTGTTCTTCCATCAGTTAAAAAACTTAACTGTTGTATTTGTGTGGAACTAAAAGCAAAACCTAAATGATACGTGCGTTTTCCTTTGGGATAATTTTACCTTAAGTCAGACTTACTCTAAGTAGTTCATAAAATGGTGAATGAAAATCGACCATTTGTCATCAAACTTCTTTGATTCTGTTTGTTCTTATTTTTCCTTCCACTTTTATGAAGGGCATAGTGCAGTGATGATAGTTTATTCCATTTCTGGTAGACTGCATTTGTGGTTTTTATTTTTTAAAATAAAATAAATCAGAAATGTGTTTTTAATGGATCCTACAAGATACAGATGTGAGTAAAGAAAAAAAAATAAGACGAAAAAATCCCTAATTTCTATCCTTACAGGATCTGGACATCCTGTACTAAGTGAATAGTTTGTGAAAACCAGTATCATTTTAGCAAGTGTTTAATTTCATTATTGTTTATAGAATTTTCCTATCTAATGTATATCTTTCAGTGAAAGAATATGTAAGAATGTTTTTGGTGATTTATTTGCTAGACCAGTGCTGTTGCAGAAGCTCAAAAACTGATGGTACAAGCAGCAGATCTCCTTTCTGCCATTCATAATTCATTGCATCATGGCATCCAGGCCCAGAACGATACTACAAAAGGAGGTAATGGTCCAATTTGTTCCTTTCACTTCTTTTCCATTTAATGCAATTTTTGGTTGTTGTGAATTTCATTTCATTCATCCTGCCTGGATCTTTGAATATGTTACTCCAGAGACTTAAATATAGTGTTGTGTTGTGGCCTTTGTTTTTAAATTTATTTTAAACTGAAAGCAGTACTGTGGTCCTTGGCTGGCTGTTGTATCTTGGCTGTTTGGATTCTGCATGTGTATCTTTTCTTGTGTTTATGTTGCGCTATCAGCAGCAGTGTCTTTCTCTGGTCTGTCTGCGAACTCATCATCCCCATTGCATGTTCCATGCTCGCCTTACCGGGCTAGCCTGACTCATACCCCAAGGCCTCATTGCAGACATAAACCTCTCACAGTGCTGCTCGGTACGTTGCATCCCGGTTGTTCACCTGTTTACCTTTCCATGAGAGGTTTTTTAAAAAAATTTCTTTAAAATTGTGTTTACTTGTAGGATGCACACACACACAAACATTAGAGATCGTGCATCTGCTGTTCATAACCAGGGCTTAGCAAGGACAGATCCAGGAGCTGAGGAAATTGTTCTGGGTTTCACCTGGGTGACAGGAACCCCATTATTTGTTTTTTTTTTTCCTTTTTAAAGATTTATTTGTTTGCAACGTCAGATATACAGAGGAGGAGAGATAGAGAGGAAGACCTTCTGTCCAATGATTCACTCCTCAAGTGACTGCAATGGCCAGTGCTGCACTGATCAGAAGCTAGGAGCCAGGAACTTCCTCCAGGTCTCCCATGCGGGTGCAGGGTTCCAAGGTTCTGGGTTGTCCTTGACTGCTTTCCCAGGCCACAAGCAGGGAGCTGGATGGGAAGTGGAACTGCCGGGATTAAAACTGGTGCCTATACAGGATCCTGGCATATTCAAGGACAGGACTTGAGCCGCTATGCCACAGCGCTGGGCCCAAACCCCATTATTTGTATCACTTGTTTCTTTCTGGTATGCATTAGCAGGAAAATACAGTGAGGAGTAGAAAGGGGACTGAAGCCCATTGTACCCATGGGGATGCAGGCATTATGCATAGTGTGTGCTTTTTTTTCCTAAGATTTGTTTTATTTTTATTGTAAAGGTGGATTGACAGAAGGAGAGACAAAGATCTTCTGCCTGCTGATTCGTTGATCAAGTTTCTGCAGCAGTCAGAGCTAAGCTAATCCATAACCAGGAGCTTCTCCTGGGTCTCCCAAATGACTGCAGGGTCCCATGCTCTGCTGCTTTCCCAGGCCACAAGTTGGTTCAAAAGTGGAGGAGCCCGGACATAAATTGGTGTCTGTATGGGATCCTAGTGCATGCATGGTGACGGTTTAGCCACTGAGCCATTGAGTTTGCCCTCTGCATAGTGTCTTTAACTAGAGTGCCAAACACAGCTGCCATTGATGCTATTTTTTTTAAAAAATTAATTTATTTTTATTGGAAATTCAGATATGCAGAGGAAGATCTTCCATCCGAAGGTTTACTCCCCAAGTTGCCACAATGGCCGGAGCTGAGCCAGTCTGAAGCCAGGCACCTGGAGCTTCTTCCAGGTCTCCCAGACGGGTGCAGGGTCCCAAGGCTTTGGGCTGTCCTCCACTGCTTTCCCAGACCACAAGCAGGGAGCTGGATGGGAAGCGTGGCTGCTGGGAAATGAACCGGTAACCATACAGGATTTTGGCGCGTACAAGCCAAGGGCTTTAGCCACTAGGCTATCATACCTGTCCCTGCCATTGATGTTTTTAAAAAAATTTTCAGTTAACTTATTTGAAAGAGATACAGAAAGAAAGGGAGAATCAGACAGCTCTTTCATCTGTTGGCTCATTCCCCAAAATTTGCTGCAATGGCTGAGGCTATGCCAGGCAAGAGCCAGAAACAGAAGCTGCTTTTGGACCGCCTATGATGGTTGGTTCAGGCACCCAAGCTGTGTTCCACTATTTCTGAGGGACTTTAACAGCGACCTGCATTGAGTAGAGCAGGTGGTCCTGAACTAGTACCTATGTGGAATATTGGCAAGCAGAAACCAACCTGCTATGCCACAGAGTCACCCCCTCCAAACTGTCATCTTTGTGTTTCTTTATGATATTTGGCGTATGACTGGCATTCAGATTTTGTTTATGAAATGGATCTTAAAGGGAATAGTGTATCCTGCTTGTTAAATTTAGAACTGAGTTAACTTTTAAGAAAGCATGAAATAGTTTTGATTTTTGTTGACGCTCATTAAAATGGGATATTAGCATTCTTCAAAACAGTATTTGCCAGTTTGTTGGTCTTGTGACTACACAGGCCAATTTTTATTGCTTCACATCTCTGTCCTTTTCTGTTTCTTTCTCTTCATGAACAGGAGTTGTGGTGCTCTTTTTCTAATAAAGTTTTCCTTGCTCAGACTTCAGGTAGTGGTACGGCCCAGGAGGTAATTTGGATTAGGAAATCAGTTTTATCATATTTATATTTTTGGTAACTGCTTAATTTGCATTAATTCATTAGGTTTTTCCCCAGTAGGGGGACTATGTATGAAGTGAGTGACTAGATAGTATTCTGTAACCTTGGGACATGAAGAAGATTGTTAGATAGCAATATATAATGGGTGTTTACAAAGAGGTGCATAATATCTTCTGCTCATGCATACTTCAAAAATCTAGTGTGCAAATAATTTTATGAAACCTACCATGTAAGCTAAGTCTTTAAAATAATTTGTTGGCTCATTCAATAAGATATTAGTGGCAGAAAGCAGGAATCTTGTAGCTTGCTGGGCTGTGATTTGCCATAGTTGACTGTTGCGCGCTGTTTTGCTCTCTGCCATCAAGTACACTCTTAGGATACTAATTGCGCTAGGATCATGAATAGGTGCAGCTGCCTGTTTCAGGGCTCTGCTGAAAAGAAGTTCCCTTGGTGTATATTCTCCACTATTTCTGGTTCTAATGTTTGCTGACTAGGAAGCTTAAAAATAGTTTATATAAAATTGGTTTGTAAAATCTTCTTAAAAAAATGCTCCCCATAGCTGAACGATTTAGCTAATCCAAATCACACAGTGAATAGAAAGTAGGGTATGATGTATCCCTGTAATCAAAAGAAATGAAGTACTAAAGGACTTCAGAAGCATAGTAAGTGGAAGAAACCTGTTGGAGAGTACCACGTATTATATGATGCCCTTTATATAAAATGTCCAAAGCAGTGACTCCCCAACAGGAAAGATGAGCAGATGAGTGATACTCTAGGATTGGACAGGGGAGTGGATGCAGGAAAGAAGAGTAACTGCTTGTGGGAACAGAGTTCCTCCTTGGCATGATGGAAATGCTCTCGACTTGATTGGGTAATGATTTCACAAGTCTGACTGTCTTAAAAGCTGCATACCTTCAGTGGGTGAATTTAGATGGTATGTGAATTATATTGGAAGAGTTAAAAGTAAAGGAAAATCACTGTAGTGTTATTTTCTGGTCTTGTGAGAAAAATGATTTCTGATGTTGAGTTCAGAACAGAAACCATCATTTAATTATAAGGAAGGATAAATTTCAGACATTTGAAGTCCACCAAAATGTATCTTCCAAAGGTTTTGGAAGATTTTTTTCATTTTAAAGAGAGTAAATCAAGAAAGAGGGGAACATGGGCTTAGGCAATGTGAAAATTTTATAAAAATGGCCAAGGTAGTGGTTGAAGGATGCTCACCACCCTTGGAAGACAAGTCTGGATTGGGGAAAGTCACAGTATCTGGGAGAGTTGTCTGAAGAGATACAAGACCAGTTGTCACCAGTAAAGAGATTTGGAGAACTGGCAAAGAGGTTGGGGTTAGTGCTAAGAAACAAGGAAAACAAAAAATGAGACAGTTATTATCTGTGCCCAAATAGATCATTTATTGAATCATGACAGTCTAAGTTCTGAACCAAAATTGTGATCTAAGTGTACTGGAGGTGCAGGAGCACAAGTGCATTGTTTGCAAGTGATATGCTTTACTAGTTTTTCCCCCCAGCTTTACACCTGATCTGTGAGGTGGAAGTCTGTGAAAATGCTTAAGCTGCTGCTTGAGAACTAACTGTGAGCTATTAGAAATATGAGGGAAAACGGAACATCAAGGTTAAATATCTATGCCAGGGGAAGGCTGAGCAGGAGGCAGGAATGCCAGGAGACCCAGCGCTGCCAGCTGCCATGGGACTCACTGCATTGTGCCCCAGGCCTAGGGGCAGGTTGGATGGAGGACCACCAGGGCTTATTTGAAAGAGTGGCTGCTGGGAGCTTCCACAGAGTAGGCCACTGCAGCCATAGACATGAGCTGGATGGAGCTGCTGGGCTGGGAGACCCTAGGGGTTTCCCAAGGCTAGGCTGCTGGAATAGCTGATGCATGCAAGCACTAGGTTTGATGGCTGCTCAGGTGGGGGTTCCCGAGGGTCTTGTCATTGGGTCTAAGCAACCACCAGTTAGCGTGAAAGTTGGATCTGGGGGCAGGCTGGACTGGATGTTGGGCAGGTTTGGAACACAGATTCAAGGTTGGGCTGTCTTCATTGCTGACTCAATGCAAGACTGAAAAGCGTACCCACATGCACACTGAAGACAAGGCAACCTAATACAACAGAAGACCTTGAGTGTACTTTCAAAGATTGCAAAGAAGCAAGTTGAACAACTTGTCAGGCCAAGGCTCACAGCAAGCACCTAAGTTAGTGGATACTCTGAAGTAGATGTAGACAGCCAGTAGGTCTTAGAACTTATACAGGGAGAACAAAGAAGAACCTGTGTTAGCACAGATGGAGTTCATCACTTCTGGTACATCTAAGCCAACAGCCTCTCAGAGGAGATGTGGGGGACACAGCCATTCTTGCCAAAGGCCAAGTCTAACCAGCAGTAGGGATGCAGTATGTGAGGGTTAGAATCGGGACAAATGGACTTCAAACTTAGGGCCACAGGCTGGAAGTCACATCTCTCCCACTATCTCAGTCTTGCCCTGCCTATGACTCAAGTAACATCCCAGGACATTCTTTCAGTCCTTGTGTCCCCAAGGCATCAAGGGA